GCTGGTGGTGGTTTTGGAGGTGGAAAAGGTGGAGGCGTGGGAGGAGGAGTTGGTGGTGGAGGAGGGGCAGGAGGAGGCGTTGGAGGTGGGGCAGGTGGAGGAGCTGGCGGTGGACTAGGAGGAGGGGCAGGCGGAGGAGTTGGAGGTGGGGCAGGTGGAGGAGCTGGAGGTGGTGTAGGAGGAGGGGCAGGCGGAGGAGCTGGAGGTGGTGTAGGAGGAGGGGCAGGCGGAGGAATTGGAGGTGGTGCAGGTGGAGGGGCAGGCGGAGGAATTGGAGGTGGTGCAGGTGGAGGAGCTGGAGGTGGTGTAGGAGGAGGGGCAGGCGGAGGAGCTGGTGGTGGTGTAGGAGGAGGAGCAGGCGGAGGAATTGGAGGTGGTGCAGGTGGAGGAGCTGGAGGTGGTGCAGGTGGAGGTGCTGGTGGTGGTTTTGGAGGTGGAAAAGGTGGTGGTTTTGGAGGAGGAGTTGGTGGAGGTGCCGGTGGAGGCGCTGGTGGAGGTGCCGGTGGAGGCTTTGGTGGTGGGCATGGTGGTGGAGTAGGGGGAGGAATTGGTGCCGGAGGAGGCGCCGGAGGAGGCTTTGGAGGGGGTTCTGGCGGTGGCATTGGAGGCGGTGCAGGTGGTGGCGGTGGGGCCGGTGGAGGCGGTGGCTTCGGTAGTGATGGTCGGGGTTTTTGAGTTAAAATATATTCTTAATAGTATGTATACTATATACCATGCAATGCAATGCTCGTTTAAGGAACCAAGTACGTATAACGTACGCTATATTTATACATTATCGAAATAAACGAAAGTTTTCGTTCATGGTCATCTGATTCTTTTCTCCTTTACATCACAAGTTCATTTTATCACAGTTAACAATTAGCCTTTAATAAAACAACTGCCATATTTTGCTTTGTACTAACAAGCTAAAATTAAAGATATTACATGGATGTGGGACTTGTAATTCATCAGCTTTACAAATATAAATTATCTCGAAACAGTTATTTAACAACTTGGATTCTATCAAGGCTGTACATAAAACTGGTGATCGAGGTAGTAGAAACAAATTCGTGTCATGAAAAACCTATTACCTATACAGAATGTTTTAATTCAATAAATAAGTTGTACCTTACAGAGCTTCAAAAGGCTAGGCCTTGATTTTCACTGCTGAGTGGAAAAACATCACTTGTCTTAGCTCTTGACTATATTTTACAAGAAACAGACAAGTAAGCAATCATGTCATGTTGAATCTATCTTCTTCTGATGACCATAGAGAAAGGATGTTAACTAACTATTTTGTCCCAGATTATTCATTTCACATTAGTTTGGCGCCAACGCTTTAATCCAGCAGGCGTACATGTAGTTAGAATATCTCAACCTTGTCAAGTGTTTAATTATAGTGACACATCAAATTTACCACTGCCGTTAATCTCTCCATTGTGAGAACTAGCACTAGTGCAGTTAATTTTTATTTATTTTTATACTAGTTTAAGAATCGATATATATTCATTTTTTATACAGGTTAAAGCTATAACTATTTTTTCCTCAATGATGGTAAATGATGAGAGGGGCACGCCAGCAACGAACCAGTAGTTCACCATAGTCGTTGCGTGCGCCAACAAATAGCACAACGAGCATTCGCACACTCGTCGTAGACATGGATCTCGGCAACGAAAACGCAGCTCCTCCTTGCGTTTCACCTGCCCTTCACCGCCAAAACAACAACAACACTGAAAAAGAGGAAGTCGCACACCCAACCAGACCCGGAATCACTACAAATCCACGTATCATCGTGAGCACGATGCATATCTACAACACGTCGTAGTCGTAGTATTGGCGACCTCGTGATAACAGTGGCGGCCTAGGGTTCTAACGTCGAGGTGCAGCTAGGAGATGCGATCTCCAATGACGGCGAGCTCGTGCGGAAGTGGTTAATGGGCAAAATCGAAGGTGCCCTGTCTGGCGAGGGTTTAACGGCAGAAGGCTAGTGCGAGTAGCACTCACGCGCAGGAACGACGAACGACTGAGGGTGATTGATGCAGAGGCGTTGCGCAATGGCTTCCGTCATAGGGTGGCAGCAGAGAAGTCGTTGATACTAGCATTGGAGGAATCTTGCGAGAGTCTCACCGGAATCAGCAACCTAGGGCTTTAATGTTGCAAATCATGGAGTTTGCGTCCGTTGTATGTGTGAAGAGGAAATACAAGAAAATTGGGGAAGAAGGGGTGTGACCCCTCTCTTATCATTCCAAAACCCTAAAAATGTCATCTCATTGTATTTACAAATTAAAAAATAAAACTTAATTATTCGTTTCAACTCTATTTAATTGAAAAGTTTCTTAATCTGTGCTAAAAAAAATTCTTTTTTTTTTTTCATTGTGTCCTAACTTTTTAAAAATTGATTTAATTAAGTTCTTTTTAAAAAATAAAAAAAATAGTATTTATTTTCAACCAGGGAAGATGATTTTTATAATATTTACTATGCATTAATATCATTCTAATTAGTTCAAAAATATTTTTTACAGAATAATATTCAATTTTAGGAAATTGAGATTTTCAACATCTCCAAATAATCTTCACGATAAGTAGTATGTTCGTTATAATAAGAATAATAACAATAAAACCACCAAAACATACGTTAGCATTCTACCTTAGGTGGTGAATAAAAAAAGTTGAACAAAACATTTATATTGTAGTCAAACCATACTTCAAAGTTTAAAGAAAGAAAAATAAATAAATGAACTTTTACGTTGTTTGTATAAGGATGACAATAACTTTCATCCATCATTGAAGGGGAACACATCACATAGAAGAGATAAAAGAAAGAACAAAATATATAAAAGTATAAAAAAATATTTTCAACAATCACAATCTTTTAGAACTGTTGATGATATACAATGAAAAAATTAATCTTTTTTTCTCTGCATGTGTTTTATCAAACACAGAATGCAACTACATCTTTTAATCAAAATGAAAATGGAAATAAATTTATGGTTGAGTTTGGTTTTGTTTTGGACTTCATAGTCAATTTTCTTTCTACTGTTTTTCAATATAATTGCTTTTAATCTCAAAACAACTGTCTTAAATTTTAATCTCCTTCTAAGGGAGTGAAAGGGAAAAGAAGAAAGAACGAAAGTGTCCTAATAGAAAAAAGAGGGTGGATAATACTATTTTCGTGTTTTTTTAATGAAAGGTCTGAAAGGCCGTGTAAAACTTCATAAATAAATAAAAAAATGTTGGTCCAACATTAATTCTAACAACAAAAAGTTAATTAAATTTTAGAAAGAATTTAATTTACTTTTAATTAAAATGCTTTGACTTTTTTTTAATAGTTAATTAAAATACTTAACTAATTTTTATTTAAATTATCAAAATGTATTTTTTTTATTCAAAAATACATAAAAGAAACAATATCTTTGAATTTGGATCTGTATAAAAAAGATAAAAACAAAATAAATAAGTAAAGATAATTTAATTTACATTATTTGTCCTTTTTTGTAATGAACATATGATAATATTATGTGTTTGTTGTGATTTTTATTTTATTTTTATAAAAATCAATTGATATTAAAATAACAAAAAATGAGAATAGGTACGTGACAAAAAAATTTATATTATCTTGAATATGAGAATTAAAAGAAACTTTTATTTTAAAGATTATAATGAAGCTCATCTCATTTATTGTCATTCCTAACTCTAAGTGAGATTTTTAATCCCTAAAAGACCAAAGGTAATCTATAAATGTTTTTATGGGAAACAAATATGAAAAGGCTGCAAACTGTCAAGTTTTCTGATGTATTTGTAATTAGGTGACAAATAAATTACATGGTACTATGGTATGTGTATTAGTCATTAGCTTTTTTAATTTTATATGTAAATTTATTTACTTTTAATAATAATAATTTATCTTTCTTATTATTTATTTTTCAATTTTTATTTAAGTTTCTTGTAATTGTCCTTATTTCTTCAACTATTTCAAGTTGAAATTTTGTTTTTTCTTTTACATATTTATTGAACTTTTTTTAAATAACTTTGGAATTTTAATTTTAGTTCTTGCTTTATATTCATATTGTAGTTAGTAAGTTTATTTATTTTTTCCTTTTTTTAATTCTTATTTTTTCCTTTTTTTAATTCTTATTTTTTCCTTTTTTTAATTCTTATTTTTTCCTAATATAATAAGTAATTTGAATGTTATTTTATATTTTCAAGATCATATACATAAAAGTCATTGTATATTGTTTTTACTTGAGCCAATTTGAGTTTTAAATTTATTCGTTGTTGATGTAAAAGATTGAATTAAAAAATTTAACTTGAAAATCATATTTGATTATTAGTTTAAATGTTAAATTTAATATTTACTTCAAATGATATTAGAATAGTGTGAAAATATATTAGAAATCTCACATCAAATATGAATAAAGTATTTTTTATAATATATAAGTAAAAACTTTATTTTATAAATTTATAAAATAAAGTTTATTCGTAAAGTTGATTTTAAACTTTCACTTAAGAAAAAAAACTTATAAAATATTATTTATTTTTTATCAAAAGCATCAAAGTAATCATAATACAATTTTATTTCATTTTATCTTATTTTTAAAAGTGTTAAGTGTTGTTATGGTGCAAGAATTTTATAATATTTAAATTTTTATAATTTTTTACTTATACTTTGATGATGCAAGAATAACTTTTATGATTAAAATATATTTTTATAATCAAAAGTTTTATTTAATAGTTATAGTTTTTAATTATTCTCTAATATTATATTAACTTTTTTCCTTAATTATATATATATATATATATATATTTATGTAAGTCTTAAACTTAAAACGTTGTTTCTTTTATAGACAATAAATATATATAGGGATGTCATGTTCTGTATATAGCACATCCTTGCATTTGTTTAAATACTTATTATTATTATTATTATTTTCTCTTCTTATTAATTAATTTCATATATATGATAAAAAATATATAGAGAATCTAACTAAACAACATAAAAGAAAATTCTCCTCTAGATATTTGTCATTGCAGAGGGTCTTGAAAGGTTGTTATAATGATGATTACATTAAAAAATATTCTAATAATGATGTATAGATATATTTGTATTTAATATTCTATTAAAATATAAATACGAAATGTGAATCTCAAAGAGTTATTAAATCACAACATTTCAGTTTAAATATATTAACCAACATGTGTTCAATGTTCCTCAATATACATTAACCTTAATGTTTTGTTTGAGTGACCCACTTGGGAAAATTTCTTTATAAGTTATCTAAGCAAACGAGTAAACTTTTTTATAAGTTATCCTAAAAATAATCTATTAATTGCACTTTCATTATTATAAAGTCATCTCTATTGGAGAGAAAAATAATGAGACTTTGGTGATTTTTAAAATATTAGGAAATCACAACACATCCAAATTAAAAAGCAAGAAACTTATTACATTGTATAATAATTCATAAACGAAGAATGATATAAAAAAATAGTATGACACATGCATTTTTTTTTAAGAACGGCAATAATAAATTAACTATAGTCAACTGGCTTAAAGTATGAATAAAAAAATAAAAAAAAAATGGATAAAAGTAAAAAAGATGAAGCCAGAATCACGTCGACCTTCATTGATTATGAAAGTAAATGAGGCAAGTTTGAAGTGGATGGAACTCTTTGGCTTCCCATTGTAGTTTAAGCAG